AATTAAGTCCGTGCCTGTTGCATATAAATTATGACTCTTAGGTGGATTTTCATATGCACTTTCAAAAAACACTCCAAATGCATTTCACTAGCAGACCCACCTGTATGGCATGTGACTTCGAACGTTTTATGTTACAGGCAGTGGACATTATTAATATTATTTTTTGCGCCAAACGAATTACCTGCGCTCTCATTCTGATTTTTGATTCTTTCCATGAAAATGCACGCGCTTACCTTTCCCTTCTCCCATTCGGTCAGTTTTTAAACTCTAATTTCCTTCCGTTCAGCTGTTTGCTCCCTTCAACGTTCGTGTGGTGATAGTACGGCTAGAAATTTGGAAGACTGATCGGGTCAGAATGGATGTTGAAGATCATCATTTGCTGAAGACTCTGGCAAACTTCAAACGTACGCGGACCGATGTTCGTCACGATTGCCTGCATGCTATCGTGTAAGTATCTCCCACCCTTTTCTACCTTTTCTTCTCAAACTTGTTAACGCGAAAGAAAACCACGCTTGTTTGCCAACATTTTGGTTCAATTTTGGCCAATTAAATTGCAGTGACTTCGCAACTGACAATTCGTTTGGCGTGTTCCATTTAAATTAAGGGCCGGACTTGTGAGACTATTTTTTTGAATTCTGGACTTAGAGCGACCTATCCAGAGGTTTCTCTGAATGTAATATTAGATCCGTGCAGCGGATTTGATAAACGCAAACTTTGGTCAGTAGATTTACCACTTTCTCTGAACCATCTTCCTACACTGGCACTTCAAATAACAATTCTTCATCTTATAGTAGTAGATTTTTCACAACCTGACTGGCCTTAATTACCGCCACTCCCACCACGCCGTTCGCCATGGTTCAGGCGGTAGCGGGGGATTACTCGTATCCGCGTCCGGCGATGTTGACCTTATATATGTATGTTTCTGGCCTACCTGATGCACTTTTGTGTATGTAAAGTCATGCGTATCTGTGACCTTATAGTTGGTTCCACACCAATCTTAACACAACAGTCTACATGGTGTGACGTAGTAATTCCAGGAGGGTCCACCGTACTTTGTGCGTGTGATGGG